TAAATCTAATAAATTAAGTGGAATTACCATAACAAATTTGTTTAAATTCTATACTATTATAAGAGAATTCAATAATAATTGACTGCTACAATTTGACTAATTTAAATATTTATATTTATAAAGACAATGTTTGGACTATTGTTTATTCTAATTTAGTTGAATAAATACCAAAAAAAACAGACCTTAAATCATTTAATAGTAATTCAATTAATTCTATTCTTTATGCATAATATTATGATGACTATCAAATTTTAACCTAATTTTAATTTAGTCAAAATTTATTATAAAATATATCCACTTGGATAAAACCATTTATTAACTTTATAGTTTCTGATAAACTACAATCTTAGAATACAATTTATGTATGGAATAGTAGTTAGATATATCTATTAAATCTTACTTAATAAGGGTTGAACTTAACATATAATTTATCTTTTGATTAAAATATAATAGCAGTTTAAATATTCAATCCGTAAAGAATATTTTATGAATGTGATATTTTATTAATAATCACAATTTAAATGATTTCTAAATAAATAATTTGTAATTAGAAATCTGTTGCATAATTTAGCTAGTAAAAATAACGATATGACTGGATTATTTATACATAAAACAATCAAGTTTTCTTGAGTAATTAGTTCTTAATTTTATAATTATTTGATCTAATTGAGATTTATGAAATTATAGATTTGGATTTTAATTTAATAGGAGGATTTAAACTAAATTCTTCATCTACTCAAATATCGTTTGATTATAATAGCAATGTGTTATTTATATTCAGTGATACTTAGATTTTAACATATTTGGTAGATTATCCTTAGATAAAATTCATTACTGAATAGAATTAATCAAATTATCAATTTATTATTATAGGAATTCCATATTAGATAAATTAAACTGATGATTATTAATGTTAAAATTGTACGGTAAAATTAAATGTTAGTGTCCTTCCAATTAATGATAATTAAACATATTTAATTTATGATGAGACTAGTAAATAAAGTTAAATTATTTTTGAGAGTCAAAATTACCACTAATTCATTTCATAATTCTCAGGTTCTCTCTTAACTGCAAATTTCTCTGTAGAAAATTCCACTTTGGGGAACTTTAATGATATAACATTTTAAAATGTAAATGTAAGCTTCATAAATTAATAATCAAATCAAATATTGTAATCATTTCAAAACTTTTAAATTTTGAATATGTATATAGCTATTGGAATAATAAACTAAACTATTTATTCATGTTAAAGGAGTTATAATTATTCTCAGAGTCAATTCCAATTTGAATGTTCCGAGATTAATAAAACTTAATCATAAATTAACATTAAGAATAATCAAATTTAAGGTTATGCCTATAGTTTTGGAGTTTAAATTAATAGCTAACAATTATATTTATGTATTAATTGTTAGTTTATAATTAAATTTTAATATATTTATTAAAGATTATATATAAAAAGATTTATTTATTCATTTAATTAATTAATAAATGATTTTTTTATCCTCTTTCTTCATAACTTTATATGCTTAGGCATTACATTCAAATTACAATGTAATTCTGACCTAAGGAGAAACTTATTCACTTTACATGAAAGAATTATTTAAAAATTAAACACAAAATTTCAGTATTAAGGATTGCCCTGACAATGTTTATTTAATTAATGGAGTAAATAAGTTATCTGAATAGAATAACAGTATTATTATATTTATTATTTATATTAAACATTTATTTCAATATCCTCCACATCCCCATTATTCTTACTAATTACTTAAGTGAATACATTAAATATTTATAAATGGAATTATTCATCTATGAATTCTACATATGTAAATCTCATAAATTAAGTGGAATTACCATAAAAAATTTGTTTAAATTCCATACTATTATAAGAGAATTCAATAATAATTGACTGCTACAATTTAACTACTTTAAATATTTATATTTATAAAGACAATGTTTGGACTATTGTTTACTCTAATTTGGTTCAATAAATACCAAAAAAAACAGACCTTAAATCATTTACTAGTAATTCAATTAATTCTATTCTTTATGCAAAATATTATGATGACTATCAAATTTTAACCTAATTTTAATTTAGTCAAAATTTATTATAAAATATATCCACTTGGATAAAACCATTTATTAACTTTATTGTTTCTGATAAACTACAATCTTATAATACAATTTATATATGGAATAATAGTTAGATATATCTATTAAATCTTACTTAATAAGGGTGGAACTTAACACATAATTTGTCTTTCGTTTAAAATATAATAGCAGTTTAAATATTCAATCCGTAAAGAATATTTTATGAATGTGATATTTTATTAATAATCACAATGTAAAAGACTTATAAATTAATAATGTGTAATTAGATATCTTATTAATCATATATTTATTCATATACATAATTTAGTTTGTAAAAATAACCATATGACTGGATTATTTATACATAAATCAACCAAGTTTTCTTGAGTAATTAGTTCTTAATTTTATAATTATTTGATCTAATTGAGATTTATTAAATTATAGATTTGGATTTTAATTTAATAGAAGGATTTAAACTAAGTTCGTCATCTACTCAAATATCGTTTGATTATAATAGCAATGTTTTATTTATATTCAGTGATACTTAGATTTTAACATATTTTGTAGATTATCCTTAGATATAATTCATTGCTGAATAGAATTAATCAAATTATCAATTTATTATTATAGGAATTCCATATTAGATAAATTAAACTGATGATTATTAATGTTAAAATTGTACGGTAGAATTAAATGTTAGTGTTCTTCCAATTAATGATAATTAAACATATTTAATTTATGATGAGACTAGTAAATAAAGTTAAATTATTTTTGAGAGTCAAAATTACCACTAATTCATTTCATAAATCTCAGGTTCTCTCTTAACTGCAAATTTCTCGGTAGAAAATTCCACTTTGGGGAACTTTAATGATATAACATTTTAAAATGTAAATCTAAGCTTCATAAANGATCTAGTCACTGTATTACATGTGGACTGTATCCTATTTAAGGGGTACACCAATGTTAAGTCTAATTGACTTTAAGGAAAGAATGAATATTATCATAAATAAATAAATAAATAAATAAATAATAAATAATAGATAAATCGACTTTAGCTTAAAAATTGAAATTTATCTTTAAAACTCAACTGATACATGCAATTTAACTGCTTATAATTTTGTGAATAAAATTATAGCAAATTATACTTTTAACTATAAGTCTTAAATAGATTTTGGATTTGAATATGCACTAATAGCATTATTGATTATAGTTTTTTTAGCAGCAACAACACTAATTTGGTATAGGACAAAAGATTAGTAAGAATAATTTTGGTTATAAGAATTTGAAGAATTAGAGATTGAAACATTCTAATGATTATTAAATTTATTATAATTACAATATCAATCTAATATCTTCATAAAAATTTTATTTATAATACCTTTTTCGAATTTACTTTATTTTACTTGAATATCTGAATAGATAATCTTAAAATAATTGTTTAAACTAGTGACATTCATTTTTAATAAAAATTCATAAGCAACCAAAATGATAATAGGCATAAGCATTAATTCAATATTATGTCTATTAAGGTTTATAAAATGTTATTAATAATCATTAAAAAAACTGTTGATAATTAAGTATCTGACATTAATGAAAATAATAGTTCTTTTACCATTAATTAAATAAATCAAAAAGTAAGTGATTATTTGGATTATAATCACCCAAATCTAATAGTTCGAGATTCAATAAGAATAAAAATTAATTTATTCATGTAAATTAATAAAATATAAATAACTATTCTTATCATAAGTTCTTAAATTATTACTGTATCTAAGAATCAAGAATAAATATAGATCTTTTGCTATTTTCAAGACTATTCTTAAATTTAGGATGTTAAAATAGAATAAGATTATGAAATGTTAAAATAAGATTTAGAATAACAAAAATCAAAAGATTCGAATATAAAATTATTGATTAATTATTCCCTCTTAGGAAGTATTAGAGAACAGTTCGACTTTTTTTAAATCTAAATGTGAACTTTATGGAAATTAAAAAAACGAAACAGAATTAAAGATTTAAATAAATGAAATTAAGTTTTATATGAATATAATTTTCTTTTTCATTATTGATCAGAGAATTCAATTTGGATGATTAAGTTTAATTAATAAATTTCAAGATTAGTTTTCTTCATTTATTTAAACTAAATAAGATATATAAAATATCAATTTATTTTAAATATATATAATTTTTATTTGCTTAATATACTTATTGTTTTTTTTTAAACAATCAATTGATCATGATTATATTCTCTATCTTAGATATCGGATAATTAAATATCAAAATATGATAGTCATTGGCAATATAATGTGAAAAACAATAATTAGAATAGAAACTATATGCCTTCTCTTAATATTAAGTTGTAATGACAACATCATATAATATTTTAACTTTGATTTGAAAGGATTTCTCATATTTGAAAGATAAATTTAATCAAAATTATTATTAATAGGTTTGATTATATAATCAGAAATTAGTAAAAATAATTATATATAATTAATATTTTAAATAAATTTATAATAAATGGTGTTATTATAAAAATTATAAAAGAAGTTGTTATCTTTGATAAATTCTTAATTTTAGTATTACAATGATGTTATATTTCAATCTTTGATATCATAATGATAATTTTATTAAATAATACTAAAATTAATTGTATTGAATAATCATGTAAAAGTTTCACATAATAAAAATCATTTTATTGATAAAATAATCATTTTTATGGTTGTTTGGATATATAATTTAATTATATTGCCATTTTTAATTATTTGGAAATATATTGATTTAAATTTTGATTATTCATTTAATATGTATTTTTTTTTTAATTAATGGGAGATTTGTTATTTTTTAAGGAAAAAAGAAGAGCTATAAAAGAATAATAACTTTTTTATATCATTTCCTAAGTATAGAAAATTTAAAATTGAGTTTTTTGTTAATCTAGAAACTTGATAAAATTTGAAAAAGTAGTTGATATAATTAGCACTATTAAAATAGCTTATTGTCAATTTATTATATTTCCCATAAATATCTTCAAAGAATTTTTATTGGATTTAGAAATGAATAATGAGCTTTATTTCAAATTGCTATATAGCTAATTCTTTAATTATTCTGAATACCTAATGTATTATAATCGAACTTTGAAAATTAAAGTCTAAACAAAAAAAAAAGAAAAACATCTAGCTTTTGTTTTTGTTTTTGTTTTGTTTTTAAATTGATATTTAAGGAAAAAATTGTAATAATAAGCTCATCTCTTACATCAATTTTTCTATAAATAATAGCAGAATCTAGAAAAATTTGGAATGTAGAGTAAAAATCAATTTTTATGAATAATATCAATAAATGAGTTAATATGTGGATGATTTGAAGATCTTTTATCATACAAATGCATGTTGATTTGAAAATCTTTGCTTGAATATATATGTATCAAGGATTTATTTTGAAATTCAATTTTTGACAATGATTGTACTAAATGTCTATAAGATAATGATATGGAAGAGTAGTTTAATAGATATGTTAATAAACTTAATTTTGATGTAAATATATAATCATCCTTGAGTACAATACGGAGATATGATATTATTACATTTTCCTTTGACACAATTACCAGAGGTAGCACAGCATACTCCATTACAACAAACAGCACAAGCCTAAAGCTGAAGGAAACTAGGAGAATCTGGTTATGCATTTAATTCTTATTCTTAAGGAGTGTCAATTTCATTAGCCATTATTGATGTGGCAATGAGGCATACTAAAAGGAAAGCTTTCATTTATTATTTATTTTATTGGACTTATTTGAATATTAAATTTGCTTTAATACTAAAAAATTTGGATACGCCAATTTTCATCATTGAATTATAAAATATTTGAATTAAGTTTGAGAATATAATTCTTATTTATTTTTATAAAATGCTCTACCATTCTTTAAGTCCCTAAGAAATTTCAAATGACAAACTTTTCAAATAAGTGTTATTGAAAATTAATGATTTTTTTTGTTTAACTCTTTTTTCGAGAATTCAAAATAGAAAAAAAGTTTCTGTATATAATTACAAACATTTGTATATTTTTTAGCTAGTTATACGTTAAGATTATGATATATATTATTAAAGATCCAATTATTCTATCTATATAAATGTTGTAAGTTAGAAAGATTATACTTTGAAAATAATTGCATTGATGATAGTAGAGCTCCTAAGTGTTCAAATAAAATTGAACTCTCTTGTTCTGCTGTAAGGAGTACTAGAATAACTTATAAATTATGTTCTTACAATGATAGTTAATACTAAGATGATACAGATACCTCTAACTCAACAAAAGATACTTGTTTCTCAGGAACAAAAAGAAATTAAAAAAGGTCTGCTGATCTTAAATTTGTTGAATGCGAAACTTCACTTGATGGATCTTTTGATTTTCAAATTGTTTTTGGATGTCTTTTATTCATATTTATTGGATTATGAAGTTATTTTAATTCATCAAACAAGTCTATATTATTGATCTATATAGTATATTTTTGAATATTTTATATTAGAAATTTGATTGAATTTATAGGTTCTATTAAAGAATACCTGAGAATTACAGGAAATCTGTACTTGCTGCTATAAATTGATTAAACTAATATTCAATAGAATTTATAATTTTTTGTTATTAAATGTATTATAAATTAAGATTTATGACTATAGATTAGAACTAGAGAGTATGAACCCAAAAAATGAATTGATAATATGGAAAGAGTTTAAATATAAAAATTTTAGAATTTATTTGATTTTATCATATTTAGCAAAAATATTATAAAAAGAATGAATAGAACTTTCTATAGTGGTAAACTGGAAATAATCATTTGATAAGCATTTTTAAGTGGAAATTCTAAATTAGTTTAATGTATTAAGGATTGAAGCAGTGATTATGATATCTTTTAAATAAGGACAGGGATGGGTAATTAATATAAGGAGGATAAGTAAAGATTAAGGCTTATTTAGTATTAAGTTTGAAGGTTTATTGGGTTTTTAATAATTACAAATAGCTTTATTACACTTTTAATAAAGTGTTTTCTTAAAGCACAGCAAAAGGGAGCAGGAGAACATTCATGAGGGGAAATCAGACTCCTATAATAACTAAAACAGACAGCTCTAGAATTCAACGAAGATTTTCTCCCTGATAATGCTTGGCTCACAAATTTTAATTTAACTTTTGCTTTAGTGCACCAATTTATTAAACCTCAAATCTAATTTTTGCTATCAGATCAGCTATTACTTGCTTATTATTATCGTTATAAAGTGTATAGGTCTGGTAACTGTAAAGTATGCTAAAAACTACTGACCAGACTAATAGCAATTAAAATTTCAATATAAATTCATTCATTCTCAATCATTTCTATGTTTCATTCTATCCTTCTTCTTTTATGTAATAAAGACTCAAGTCTATAAAATCGATTGATTCACTAAATTTTCTCATAAACTTTTTTCTTGTTCAAATTTCTACTTTGTCACCATCTTTGAGCACTTAAATGTTTTGCAAATGGGTTTTTAATTATGTGTTTATAATGAAGGTTGCAAAAATAGAGAGCACTTAAATTTTTTGGAAATATTCAATAATCCAACAAGCTTTTGTATGAATGCATCACTTAATAACGAATCACATTGACACCATTTTTCAAAGTACTCAGTTTTATCATCTTGCAGAGTTGACATCTAGATTAGTTATCCTAATAAATTTTCCTTGGTGGGAGTAGTTTTAGGTAAAAATAAACATTCTTTCAGACATAGTTTCCTGAGCAATAGAAACTTTTTCTACATTTTCTTTTATTAAATAAAAATCAAGTATATTAATGAGGTATTTAAATTACTTGTAGATGAAACTGAAGGTATCTAAAGACTTTAAAAATTCCCTTGAATCAAATTTAAATTAATATATCCTTTTTATTGATTTATCCTTTACTATCAATCTCATTCCCAAGATATTAAGATGTTTACACAAATTTTATTGC